GAGAGAGAGATAGAGAGAGGGAGATGGATGGATGGATAGATAGATAGATAGATAGATAGATAGATAGATAGATAGATAGATAGATAGATAGATAGATAGATAGATAGATAGATAGATAGATAGATAGATATGTATATATGTATCTGGCACATGCGTAAGAGCGGGTTTCTAAAACCGTTGAGTGCAGTGAATGTCTTTATTTTATCCTACTGGTACTAGATGATTGTCCGAAAGTACACTTAGGTATAAAATATGCAAATGAATAAATGGAAAATTACTGTAATACCTTTCTGGTTAATGATTATACTTATGATAATGATAAGAACTACAATGATTGTGGAAGTTACTTGGGAAGAGATGAAATTCCATACGTTAATTGTTCCATACGTTAGGCCTTGATTTGCATAATTAATGACGTAAGGTACTTAGTAGTATTTGATGACTGCTACACAGTAGCACTTTCATATATGTGACAGATATAACATGAGTTGAGGTAAACATTGATATGTATTGGTTATGCAAATGAATGGATCATTTGCATAATAAATGGGCAAATCACATAACTCCTAAGTTGTAAGTGATAGACAATGTAAACTTTGGATTCTAGTTACTTAGGTTGAGATGAATATTTTCTGATATGAATTGTGGTACTAGTAATTTGGGCTTGATTTTTCGAATTGACGACTAATTTGAAGTTGGCATCTGTAGTTCTGAACTGTCGAAAATAAATCGTAGGTTATTTGTAAACGTACTCAATCAAACGCACTGAAAACGCTGTTGGGCGAGGGAAATATCAACACATGATATTCAAAATGATTTTGTACATTACCTATGACGGATTAATGTTTAGAACTCGACAGAATACGCCAATGTGCACATTTATCAGTTTATCACATGCAGTTCAGTCCCTTGTCGCTAGGATCCAAAAATCCAAAAATCGTCCTTTTTTGTAAATATACTTTATCAAACGCATTGTAAAGGCTATAAGCAAATGAAATATGAACATAGGATTCATCCCTATCATTATTTATGAGTAAATAGCTATATAGTTTACACTTGGCAAAACACGGCACTGATATTCTGCATCAGCGCCAAAGATGCTGTATGGTCGAAAATACGTATAGATAAATTGCTTATATCTTCAAGAAGAGTGACAGAATAGCAAAGCCACTGACAGCAAAGGTAGATCAGCATATTACTCTGTTGCTGTAAAAGTTCCATGGAAAACTACAACTTCCTTTTCGTTTTATAAAAGAAAATGGACTTCCGACATGTGCGGTTCAAACTTACCAGAGTTGTGTATGTGAAAAGAAAAATAGTCTTTGTAAATGCTTCGCTTTGCGCGGGACTTAAGCTTGAATTCATATATCCTCTTGAAATAAAACGACGGATTTCTCTCAAAATTGTCCAGAAATATTCGAGGAAGCTTGCTTATATATCAAGTTTTATTGCAAATTCATGCTCAAAGGCTAATTGCATGAGCAGAAGAAACATTTGGTATAAAAACAGATAATTAGTACGCATGGAACTACTAACTACTAAGAAACTACTAGTAAAAACTACTGGGTTTGACTTCTTTTTTGAAGACAGGGGAAGACAAAGTATCCCACTTTTTCTGTAATTTGTGGGTTTTCGGATGTTAAGAGGAGAGTAGTTTTCATTTGTATATGTGTAAAAGTTTGGGTAGAATTTGGAGGCTACGTCAAAGAGTTCATTTCGTTCATTGCTATAGAGGGTACAATTTGAGATAATATGCGTTTCGTCTTCCACCGTATTCAACGTACAATGTTTGCAAATTCGTTCATACACTTGGAGCTTCTTATATCGCCCTCTCTCAACTTCGAGAGGGTGCGCATTCGTAATTTACTTATTGCGAATGTTGAAATCGATTAAGTCCAGGTATTTTTCCATAGAGTATGCTGTTTTACATTTTTTGTAGAACCTTAGCTTACCAGAATCAATATTTAACTTGTATATGTGTGTGTGTGTGTGTGTGTGTGCGTGTGTGTGTGTGTGTGTGTGTGTGTGTGTGTGTGTGTGTGTGTGTGTGTGTGTGTGTGTGTGTGTGTGTGTATGTAGGGAGAGAGACGTGCGTACTGGCCGTAGAATGAACGCCATGATTGGTTACCAGGTAACTAGGTTTACTCTGAAAGTTTTCAAATCACCGTGTGTATTATATATATAATAGACAAACTATGAGATATCTGAACACCGAAAGCCGCGATTCCTCTGGTGACTTTGTGTGTCTTTATCTTTTTATGTAGGTTTGACCAAGAGGCCAAACATTGTAACCTCTTTGGTTTCACAACATTTTATCCGACGAAGATACCACACCACGATGTTATAAGTCCAGCTTAACTATCACGTCTATCTTTGTTTTTTTTTTTGGGGTTGGGGGGGGGTTAAACGTTCATTAGAATAGAAAACTTCACATGCAATTGCAAGCAACCAAATCTCGCAAGCACACCTTTTTGTCAGTAAGAGCAAACTATAGTGAGGCTGTGCTGCTGTTCCGCTCAGATAAGTCTATTCCAATTTAAAGTGCGTCACACAGAATTGCGTCTACCTATCTGACGCTGGTGGGATATCTTAGAACTTTCACAGCTGTGTTCTAGCAGCCTAAAATACTGATCAGCAATCTGGTTAGCTCTTTCCTTATCCAACAGGTTTGCTCTTTCATCTTCAATTCTATGCACGGCGAATGGCGCTTATGCAAGTTTTTGTTTTATGTTTTGCCGCGCTTAAAGCATTCTATTCATCAATGATGGTCTACAATTCTACATTAAGTCACATGTCGATCTTTCATATGTTCAATGACATTTTCATTGTGTTTGATGAAATATATTTGCAAACAACCTACAAATTAATCCTAGCGACTTAAGTCAAACTGCAGCTTGTGTAGAATTGTCAACCAAAATTGGGGGGGTAGGGGTCCCCCTTAGATTTTTATGACCCAAATGTACCTTTCTGTGAACGCCATGTCGAGACAAACTCAAAGACGCCTTTGTTGGGCAAATCCGCCAATGTCGTCGAAATTTTAAAAAATCCAATTTTTGGTCTGGGGGGGTCCTCCTTAGATTTTTTTGGCCAAAATGTACCTTTCTGTGACCGCCATGTCGAGACGAACTCAAAGACGCCTTTGTTGGGCAAATCCGCCAATGTCGTCGAAATTTTAAAAAATCCAATTTTTGGTCTGGGGGGGTCCCCCTTAGATTTTTTTGGCCAAAGTGTACCTTTCTGTGACCGCCATGTCGAGACGAACTCAAAGACGCCTTTGTTGGGCAAATCCGCCAACGTCGTCAAAATTTCAAAAAATCCAATTTTTCTTCTGGGGGGTCCCCCTTAGATTTTTTTGGCCAAAGTGTACCTTTCTGTGACCGCCATGTCGAGACGAACTCAAAGACACCTTTGTTGGGCAAATCCGCCAATGTCGTCGAAATTTTAAAAAATCCAATTTTTGGTCTGGGGGGGTCCCCCTTAGATTTTTTTGACCCAAATGTACCTTTCTGTGACCGCCATGTCGAGACAAACTCAAAGACACCTTTGTTGAGCAAATCCGCCAACGTCGTCAAAATTTCAAAAAATCCAATTTTTCTTCTGGGGGGGTCCCCCTTAGATTTTTTTGGCCAAAGTGTACCTTTCTGTGACCGCCATGTCGAGACAAACTCAAAGACACCTTTGTTGAGCAAATCCGCCAATGTCGTCAAAATTAAAAAAAATCCAATTTTTGGTCTGGGGGGGTGCCCCTTAGATTTTTTTGACCCAAATGTACCTTTCTGTGACCGCCATGTCGAGACAAACTCAAAGACACCTTTGTTGAGCAAATATGCCAACGTCATCCAAATGTCCAATTTTTGCAGGGGGGTGGGTATGGGTATGGGGTTTTAGAAATTTTAGCACACCTCACAAGGTGTACAGAAACTCCCACAGCAAATGTCAGTTCATTGCAGTACACACTTAAAATCTTAGAACTGTGGCAGAATGGAATGCTCTACTGCAGTAACCACCCTATAAGAGATTGCTACAGGGTGCCTAAGTTTTGGGATATAGATGTTGCACCAGTCCTGAAGAAATTCGTTTGCTATTGGATACTATCATCAGTTTGCAAGCATTGATATTACTATAGCCTTCCTGTGCAGGAACAGGACTTACACAACAATACCATGTACCATGTATTGACATCTACTTTTATTGTAATCTTCAACAGGGGGTAACAGACATAAAGATAAGGGACATATTTGCAACAAAACTGCAAAAAAGATGCAACAAACTGTCATCTTCAGTTGTCCATGTTTGCTTGCTACATTACCCCCCAGGTACAAGGAAGATAAAAACACATGTTACATATGAATATATCAAGCACAATGGACAGTTTTATCACTTTCTCTTGTTCAAGGATACATTCTTACATATCGTGTCAAGTAATGCATTTATATTTTTGGCCAAAATGTAATATTCATTGATAACTGAACTTTTGATTTTACCATTATCATCTACTTTTCAGTAATCATGTTAAAGCACTCAATAATTTGGCAAACGTGAACCACTAGCTTAGGCTGGTATATAGTATGAGAGTAAATAACCAAGACAAGTTTGTATTCAAAACATATGGACAACAGATATTGCATAAAGTTGTACATGAAGAAGTAAGCCTCACCTAAGCCAGAATATAATGTAATAAACACACTGTCCTGCCAAGCTATGCCTGGTAGTGTCAGACAGGCTGGCAGTTACTTTTCTACATAGCAGCTCCAGTGCCAGTATACATGCAATTTTTACTATTTTCTTAAGACTACCAAAAATCCATACCTTAAGACACTTACTATCATTCATCTGCAAGGAAGATTGTTGCGTTGCCCAGGATATCAATGTCTCACACAAGCACTACGTAATTACAGCCTACATATTCATTCATCTACATTATTGTCATCATCACTCAGACTTTCACAATCTGAAACTCTCTCCTCATCACTTGCACATAGTAGTTCATCTTCATCTTCACACGTTTCACGCTTTTCTGGGTTACGGAACGGAAACATTGTTAGATAGGATGACTGTACAATGGGCAAGTCCAAATATGGTACACGTTCTTGAAAATAGTTGTACATTGACTCTAACCGTTGGTCAAGACTAACAATGTGTGTTGTTAGAGCTGCTCTCTTCCCAGCTTCATTCTCATCAAACTGGGTGACTGCAAGCTCTGCTAGGTCCCTCTCATTCTGGAAATGGTAAAATACTTCCTTCATCTCCTGTTCCACCATTTCCTTCTCCTCTCTAGCACGATGTAGGAGATTGAGGTGTTCAATCGCTTTTCGCTGCAAGCTGCGTGGCACGCCTGGCTCCTGTAAAGTCAACACATGTCAAGATATTCAATGCTTGCTGATTGATGTGATTAAGAATGAAACTTCCCCTTGTTCCCTCAATAACAAAAAAATGGAGACATTGTTTTTGACCTGTCTGTGTGGTTGTCTATGTTTCTGCATATTTCTGGACAGGATAACTTAAGAAGGCCTGGAAAGATTGATTCATATCTGGTATGTGTTTAAGCTTGGGAAGTCTTTCTAAAAAAATCAAGCTTCCCAACGCCCAAAAGTAATGACTGCAACAGGTTAAGAACACCAGAGACCAAATCCTTAAATTCTGTTACTGTACCAGTACAAATGGAAACCTTCCTACCAAATACAAGAACATACAACCATTTAAACTCGCCGCCACAACTCAGGTCACAACCGAAGACGCCAATGTAAAAAAAAAAAAAATCACAAAGGTAATACGCTTATGGGGAAATGTCATTATGTATGATAAACAAATTAATAAATAAACGCACCGAAACTGTTGGTTCAAGGCATGAATAGTGCTGCCAAGAGGGATCTGTCGCTTCCCGGAACTCCACTGCTGCTGGAAAATCCGAAGTCATAGGCTCCCACTTTACTTCGTTGTAGGAGGTAATCGTCTTCTGTAGTTTGGTGTTGGTCGTCTTCAGCTGCTTGGTTAGCTTGATAGCTATGGCTTGACCATCTGTGTAGGAACAAACAAGTTTTGCGTAAGAAAGTTGGGCTATCATTGTACCAGGCCTTAAGAGCCAAATGTCAACACTTGCCCTGGCCACTGTGCATTCCACATTGACTTTTCCCCATCATGGCCTGTATGGCAAAACTATATTCAGGTACAGACAATAAGTTTCTAAATAAATTTTGTAATATACACATGCATCCAACTTGCTTTTTATAGGTAAAGTGGCATGTACAAGTACAGTTACAGTTGTTACATATAGTTACACACCTAATAAACACCCTCTCCCTGTTAACATGCAAAAGCTTCGCCAAAGATAGCTATAAAAACAATAATAAAATAAAGGACAACATATAGCTAGGGAGAGTGGTGGTTTCCTCTACATCTTTTGCAATCTTCATGTTTCAAACAACTCAGGGCTACCTCCTCTGAAGAAATTGGTACTACCATGGAAGGAAAAGGAGTACAAAGGAAAATTACAGTTACCTCATGATCACAGTAAGTAAAGTGAACTTCAAAAATAGAGCAATATATAAAATTACTTTCAGAAAGAACTATTGCTATTTAAGCAAAACTATGAGATGATTTGAAATACACTAACCTGGATACTTCTTCTTGAGGGACATTAGGAATGAGCGTTCATATGCAAGAACCCTCATTTTAGAAAGGAGGGTGGTCCTCACAGTCATGTCCACCTCCTTCATGACTGCCACAAAGTCTGGGCTGGAGGGTGTCCATCGTTGCTTTATCTTATGCTTCCTCTCCAACCCTGCCACTTCATTATCCAGCCTGGAGTAAAAGAATTATGGAAAAACTTTGTTATACATCAGGAGTCATATCTTTCTTGCTTCTTTAAGACAATGGAATATTTGATATACTGTAAACATTAAAACTCTGTAATATAAGGTAATATGTGTACAGCTCTATCTAGAGATAAGAAACCGTAAAGCTTCGAATGCTTACTTCACATAAGACGCCCGATACACAGCTGCATCATCTTCATCCTGGCTTTCTTGTATCTTCTGTCTGGGGAAATATATACAACGGACCATAATACATTAGTAATCTCCATGGTTCATGAATTTGGGACAAATTAACTAAAGGTAACAACCGAAAACTTCAGTGGGTATAGTAATAAGCCCAACCGGCAGTTTTCACTTAATGCAAGATAGAATGGGATTTGATGGTACAAAAGAATCTGAATGTGTGCATGTGTTGACAGTGGGAATTTTTATCAACAATACATAGTTCAGAAAATGGCTAATATAAGACTTCACCAGTAATATTCATGAAAAAAAAGTTCTAATAAGACAAATGCTCACCGAAGTGTCTTCAGCTGGTGCAGCTTTTGTGCGTATTCTTTCTTCCACTTCGCAAATGTAGCTAAAAGTAAAACAACACGATACTGATAAAGGTGTACTGCATTTATTTTCTACTGTTTTAAAGAAATCTTCACCTGTACTATCTTAAGAAAGGGAAAATTCATTACCATGAAATGGTGTCTGCCACACTCAGGACCTAACTCCAGGACTACATCTAATGACAATGAAACTAAGTTCTGTAATGGGGAGTCACAGCCTATTATATAACACTTACTTATAATAATATCACCACCTTGAGAGGCAGTGTGTTTGAAGAGATATTTGCTACCATTTACCCCCGGTGTAAAGAATACATATTATCTATTGTTATCTTGGGCAAGTGGCAGTAAGAATCACTGTATATGTACTGTTCCTGCGGAGGGTGATAATACGGAGCCTGGCAATTTAAAGGGAATCATGTAATGCTGAAACTACTAGTGTGTTTCAAGGAAAGTAAAATTGTTAACCTTAATGAGTTGTTAATCAATGATTGTGAACTTTATCTGTATAGTTGTGACAAAATCCCATCCATATGTACTTTTAAATCCGAAACATGCAGAGGACTTACATTAGCCACAAAAGAAGCCATAATAATTCTATATTAAGTACAACTGTTGCAGCAGTCTTACCGGTAATACCAAAAAGCAAAGTACGTAAACTTGAAAAAAGTACATAGACTTACATGCGACGGGATTCTCCATTAAAATGGCCTCCCTTTCCCTCTGTGACCATGCTTTGATGTCATCTACAGACACTAAGAAGTAAAAGTAGGAATAATGATAAATTAAATGTATTACACTTAATCCCACTTTCAAAGACTACCAGGGAGACATAATAAGTACAAATGCATGTGACAACTTCCAAAATTTTTGAAGAAAGTTTGCTTTCATATATTGATTTGAAAATTCATTACAGTTAGTAACAATGACAGAGTAAAACTACTAGTACCATTTGCTTCATTCATGACTGCTTTCAGCCCTTCCTCTGCAACACTGCTGGCCTTCTTTGCATTTTCCAGTTTCGTCACAAGAGCCACATCTAAAATGTCAATAAAAAGGTGCAGTTTAGATCATGATTAAGCAGTGTATAGAAATACAAGAGCAATAATGGTAGGCCTAGACAAAAATCAGCAGGATAGTCAGATGCTTACCGATATCTAGAGTTTTCCGCATTGTGTAGTGGAAGATGGCATCTGTCAGCAGGTCAATGCGTCGAGACGGAGTCATCTCCTTTGTGGTTCTGGAGAATTTTCGGAGAAATGCCCACATTCTCTCCACGGACTCCCCATCCGTCAGGCCATACCCAGGGCGTCTTCTGGTGCTGTACTTAAGCTGTTAAATGGGAGAACGTCTGTCACAATGTCTACAATGTCAGTATCTAAGGGTAGGTGACAATTTGATAAAGAAATATGACATTTGTGCATGGAATTCTTGTACCTGGCATGCAGTTTTGTGTCCATATGCATGGAACACATCCAGCGCAATGTCGATTTGTGCCAGCATCTGAGGACCACCTTGCTTCTTCTGTAGCATGAAAAAACAAAAACATACTGCTTTGTATGGTATATCCCATTTAGATTGTATAACTTTCAAAAGTACTTGAGGATAACATACATTATATAAAGCAATAAAAATAAAAAAAGTTGGAGGGGGGGAACATCCCCATCACCATTTGGCACTAGTATGATCCACAGAAGACAAATACAGATGTTCAGACAGGAAAAAATGTAAACTTTACCCCATGCTAAATTACTTTGAACAAATACAGAGACCAACAAGACATAAATGACGTAATGCCCTGACTTAGCAGTAGTCAAAAGAGTGAGTGTAAAATGCAGAATAAATCTTAGAACCTTGAGATGTGCGACAAGAATGCACGAGATATCATAGACGATTTTGAGCTTCACATCCTTTGACCCTTCCACATCTGACAGAAGCTTCTGTATCATGTAGACAGGGTACCCCAACCTAAAGACAAATGGTAAAAAGAATAAATAATGAGTGAACAAATGCCTCTGTATACCTAGGCTTCCTGTGAAAATGATGTGAATGTAAAGTAATTTACTATGTAAAGTGACATGAAAGTAATGTAACTGTTACTAAAATCTGATCACAATTTGCATAATTTGTATCCTATTATGTCAGACTCTCCCAACATTCCTGCAAGCAAAAAAAATTGCATGGCGTCCTCCTTCACAGGCTATTAATAATGGTAGAATAATGGTAGAATCAACACTAATAGGCTAATGCCCTAATGTTCTTGCTGAAAAGTATGATTTTGACAAAGTTTTTAGTAATGGTTTAATATTCTAACATCGGAAGACCTACTGAAAAGATGTATTTCCAATAAAACAAACCGTTCTCCATGTGTCATGTTCAGAAAACGTCTTGGCACCTCATGCCGACACACACTCCCGAATACACCCTGTATGTCCAGTTTCTTCTGCTTGGCCTGGGATCGTAGTGAGTTACCAGCTTTAAAATTGCTGCAATCCTAAGAAATCAAGAAACATCAGAGTTGTCTTTCATTGGTCTGTCAGATATTCTGTCATGAAACCTAAACTGAATACACTCAGCATTTCTATGATTCTTTTGATATATGTAATTGTCATGCTGTGCCAAATAAGTTACACTGACCATTTATTTATTTCCCTACTTTATACACCTACATGTATGTAAAAAGACAAATCAATATTCCTTCTAGTAGTAAGTTTAGACAAATCTTTGGTTACAAACACATTACTGTTCTCAAATTATCACCATCACTAAGACGCAAGGAGAAACCAAATTCAATAAGCAGATAATTCATACTCATGCTATCTTATCAATGTACCTGTAAACTTTTGTTGTGACCTTAACTAAGCAAGTGGGATATTGTGTACAATGAAAGTCTTCATTTAACCATTAACCATTAATCTATTTATCCTTTGTTTCAAGAGCACGAATGTGGTTTTATCAGAAATAGCTTGGACACAATATTAGTATAATTGTTCATTCTATATCCATAATGTAACATTTTGTATTACCAAGTCCATACAACTAAAATTACAAAATGTTAAGTGTTAAGGAGTACCTTATCTGGTTTACTTGTATCATCATATGATGCCATATAGTCCTGGACAGCATCATCATCAAGGAAGACAGAGGTCCCATGCAGGGGTGGCTCAGAACTGGTCCCAGATGATTTCTTTCTTACGAGGCCAAAATTTCCATCTAGAGAGATGATTTGGGTGCCCTCTGCCTAAAGAGAGTGGGACAGAGAGAGAGAGCAGCCAATTAAGTTCACATGTAATAGGTTACATACAATCATAGCTATTGAAAATTAGCATATTTCACTGTTATGTTGATTAGACTATTTTTTATTAAATACAAATCAGAAAACATGTTTGGAAAAAAATGTTAATCATTAATTCTTCCTAAAGGATTATATGGATGAATGTTAATCAATACATGTACTTAAGAATGAATTTTGAGGAAAACCATATACCTTTGGACATGCAGGACAGGCTGTTCCATTATCCAGTGAAGGACAAAGGTCTTTCATTGTTCTCAGTCTGTACTGTAGATGGCGAAACTCTGTAATGGGTTGCCCAATGAGTGCCCTGTACAGTGCTTTCATCTGTAAAATGAGGAATTTCAGCTTAAACCCGAGAACAAGTGAGATTGGATATCGTATTGTTACACATCAATCCAAGACAGTTAACTTCCTGTACAAATCACAAGCAGACTGGAATGAATTCAACAAAAATCCAGAGATCTGTCGTTTAAGTTAATTCCCTTCAAGAAATATGTATAGTCATGTAGTACTAGTATCGTGTGGCGCAACGGCAGCGTGCGTGATTCGGAATCAGGAGGTCCTGGCTTTGAGCCCTGACATGCCATCTATCTTGTGCCCTTGGGAAAGGCACTTTACACGACTTTCCCCACTAGACTCAAGTGAAAATGAGTATTGTCAGTCCAGTACTAAGTATTCGTTTCTTTGTGCAGGACAAAACACCAACAACAGCTGCCTCTGCTCCGCATATAGTCAAGGAAGTGTTGCAATTTCAATAAAATCAAAATCAAATCAAAAAGTATGACATTGTGTCAATTTCAATAACTGATATTAATAGCTTTATGATGTTTTCACAACTGCTATACTGTAGGCATGTAAATTGAAGTACAATAGTCTATGAAATGAAAATGACACAATATCATTAGAATGTACCAAATTTGCTACAGCAATGGAGATCTATCTAATTCCTAGTACAACATTTTTGCTTAGTTGAGCATTATTAATTACCTCAGTGTAGGAAAGCTGGTTTTTATACCGGACAACCCTACAGAATGCCTCCACCGACACCTGGGACTCCAGGGTCAACATTACTACCCACTCCAGTAGTGATGTAGAAAATGCAGTCTGTGGGTCTGTGACAGTTGATGCCCACAATCCATATCGAAGGAGTGTGCAACTGGCAGGTTCACAACTGCAAAGCGTCACTTCTATGTCCTGAAGGCGACCTAAAGATGCAGGGGATTATTAAAAAATATTATAATGTTGATAAAGCGTTTGTGATTTGAATCAGGCATATATAGACAAAGCAATAAACCAGATATTTGTAATCCTATTACTCATGGCTCGAAATTCATTTTTGGGAATAAATGCACTGGTGCACCTAAACTAAAAAAGTTTTTGGGTGCAACATATGAAACAAAACCTAATTACAGATTTTACCGCTGCTCTTTTGAACTTGAATGTGAAGGTGCACATGCACCCAGTATTTTGAACCATGCTATTACTAAACCAGAGGTTACTAGTATATTGTATTAGCTATAAGTATAACATAAAATACATGGACCCCCTCCCAACCTGTAACGTAATGAGTGACATGACGATGTTGTCTGACATACTAGATAGATTAAACCTGCACTTTAAGCTGAACAAATTGTAGTATAATCAAAATAATTATTTGCAATGGGACTAAATGTGTGCAGAGAGTCCCTATATCTCACTCAAATAGTCACTCACCAATCGGTGTACGCAATAGTAGATCATACAGGTGAGTCCAATAACACAAAGAGTTTTTCCAGTTTTGGGTTTTAATATTTTGTCTTTACTTGGTGCATTAAATCTTGATGACATAGGCTAGTAATAAAGTATCTATTAAGCAGAATCCAAGCAGCTCATAAAAGCTCTTGTACTCTTCATTTTGGTGTATGCTTGGCTTCACAAGCTGTACTTTACTTACAAGAGATAAAGTAATTACAAAATAAGGCCACTGAACCTCACACTGAGGATGCTTTTTGTTATTTTAATATGTGTTTTAGCACAGTGGGTCTGACCCCTACTCTTCAGGATGAGTACTAGTGTTTGGTTCTTTTATTGATCAGGTTTACTGATAATTGAACACATGCATCTGTATTCTCAAGCTTCCTCATACACGGGCAGCCAGCTTTATGTCACCATCCAAAATTACAAATGCAATCAATGCCTTACAACCAAGATCAAGATTGCCAAGCAGTGGGGTTACGTTACCACTTGTGCAACAGGGATATTTCTGGCAGCAAAAACACCATAAAAACTGTCTCCCTGTAAATTAGTACATGCTTCCATGGACCTTTATAATGGTTTATAAAGGTTCCGGTATTTTAGCATTTCCAGACCTCAAAAGTAATTAACTTTTTTACTATTGCCCCAGAATTGTCCCAAAAATAGATTTCAATTGTCTAGAACTGAGGATGGACTGTCCCAACCTGCTTTTCAGGAAATACATTGTAAGGGTATGACAACAATTAAAGAAAACAACAACTGAATTTGTACAACTTGAAGTCCACTTTATTAGTACATGTCCATCATTTTCCCCAGACTGTAGGGAAATACATGAGTAACATGACAGTATCATGGGGTCGGCACCATCTTCGAGGCCCACCTCCCTGACATTTGGAATCCCTGATTGGTCAAATTTCAATGTTTGTCAGAGTATTATGGGCTGTCGGTGGCCCGCAGCAGGATGGATGGATCGCGTTCCCAAATGACATGGACGGTCTCAGAATTTTCCAATTGCCCCAAAATTGTCACGAAACGTCATTTGAATTGTCCCAAGCTAAAAATTTAGTGTCATTTGACGCTGGGACAATGTTAATTTTGAGCCATGATTTTTTCATATACAGAGCAAAAAAACATGAATGCATTTAAAAAAGAATTAACTTCAATAACATACCTGCTTGATCAAATATCCTCAGTGACTTGATGCGTAGCCTTGTTGTACAGGAAGCATGATGAGGTAACTGCATGGTGTGGTGGAGTTGGTATGGACGGAAGTAGCTCCCCTGTGGGAAGATACCGGTAGTAAGAATTGTCTTACAGTACACAGAGGCATACTTGGCTCACATTTCAATAAAGATCTGTTGAACATTTGCATATAAGAATAAAAGTTAACAGATAATGTGAGATAAGATACCACCCTTTTGTTAATGCTTTTCACATTTACAATGATCATTGCGTGCATCAAAATCTATTTTGCACATACTATCTCTCTCTCTATATATAATATACTAATAGAAAGTTTTTGATTAGACATATTTCTGCAAAGGAACAAAAATTATACACTCAGAGGAATTACATGATCCATGTATATATCTATGTAATATAGGCATGAACTGCAGATAGAGAAAAATAAATGTGTAACGGTTACTGGGATAGTACATTTAGTTTACAAACCTCCCACTTATCCGGCATATGGAAGGAGTTCAGTTTTTCATGTTGCTTCCGCAGGCACTCGATGCAGAACATGGCTGCAGGTCCACACTCCCTACACCGGAATATCAGGCACTCCTCTTCCATTCGACAGATGGTGCAAGTGTAGGAGATGGGCACTGCCATCTCAACACTTGTGTTGAACAGGTCGTCTCTGACATTGTTCCAGGATTCCTGCGTAGCTATCTTCTGTTTTGAATATGTAGTGCGAGTTTGTGGCGGGGCTAGCTCCGGTTCATCTTGTGATGGGAATAAGGTGTCAACAGCAGCTGCTGCTGTGCTGGGACAAGGATGTTGGGGCAATGTATGTGTACTGTCAAATGGTATGGGGACACGTGTCACGGATCTCTTTGGAGCTGGACTGTCGTCAAAGATCACAGTCCTTGCCGTCACTTTCTGCCTTTCACACCGAAAGTGCTTGCTTTTGCCTCTGGCTTTTCCCATGTTTCATTCTGAAATAAGGCAAAAATAGCAACAATTATTTTCTTACTCAGTTCCAGACTATAGAAAGTATGCCTCAATAGATTTGCAAATGTGCCCTCTTCTGCACAATTCATGTATAATCCATCTTCCTAGTACTATATAGTAGATGCTGATTTAGAAAAAATGAAACGCATATAGCTTAGGTTGTACTTTACAATTGTTCTCATTAGAATTATTACTCAAGCAAGGACAGGTTTCTTCTGTATAATGAGCAAGAACATTATTCCCTAACAAACACCATCACTTGTCAACATTGTTGCAAGTTGTTTTGACTTTTTCTATTAAAAATTTATAAAATAAGCCATCCCCCCCACCCCACTCCCCTTTTGTCGCACACGCACCACCCACGACCCGGCCACTCCTGGAGCACCGTGATGCGCCTATTAAAGTGCCATTGACAGGAGGATAGAATATTTTAATACTGTTTAATCAGATGTATTAGTTTTCTTCTGTAGCCAAATGCTAATTTATTTTACCGAGAATATATAACGTTAAATTTACGACCATACTATAGCTGGTTTCCTATAGCTAGGTGAGCTGCCCGGCTGAAAGATGGCCGTCTCTTCTCGCATAATTACGCAAGTCTCTCCCAAAACCGCAGAATGGGTCCGACCATGCAGGAAATCTGACCCTAGGACCTTATATATTCAAGAACAGAGGCACTCAAAGTGATCGAGAAAGTTTGTAGAAACTTTTAGGTCGTCCTCACCACCCCCTCCCCCATGCCTCGATATTTCCTGGAAACTTTTGGTAAAATTCCAGGCGAACCTTAACCTCAACTTTCGCATAAAGCATTCAAAAATGGGTAGCATACAATCACACTGAAATACCAAATACAAATGTACCATTAAGAGTAACTATAAACCATCAAACTTCAAGTCAAACACACGTACCTGTGGTGGTGGTGGATTTGAGACCGAAGCCGAGCGCGGCGTTGGTTTTGGGTTTCCCAGCATACCCTGGGGCGGTGACCCCGCCTGATCACCCAGCGTATGTCACCATCCATGAGAATCGCTGTGCTATCGTGGAAGGCGTCGGCTGTAGGACCGGCCGACTCGGCTAGCACGATATGTATCGATGGAAGGTGGTCCCCTTTCCACGATAGTTATCGTGGAAGGCGATCGAAGCAGGTGCATCGCCGCGTGGAACAACCAAGGAGGGCGAAGCATAGGTGTCCACAGGAATCACAGAGCTTTGGGAAGCGACGGTCAGCCTAAACGTGGATCTGGATGTTGAGTATGTCCCTTCCGCAAGTAACCCGGCAGACGTCCCCTCACGTTCCTGAAACAGATCGGACGCCCGGTTACTACCGCATCTCTTCCATAAGGTTGACGCGGCCTTCGGATGGCACGACACGGACTTAATGGCCTTACCGTCTAACGTTCAGGAAAACGAGCGAGGACAGAAGCTCAGGTTCTTCAGTCCACACCCTGCAGAGGGTGACCCAGGACGTATCCGGCAGGAAGGTGTATGCTTTTCCCCCGTTTCATCTTACAGCAGTAACGACGGCGTTCCTTCTAGAACAGAGGGCCGACGCCACCATCGTGGTACCGGATCTCACCCCCAGGCAATCTTGGTGGCCTGTCCTGCAAGCGCAATCGAGGGCGTCTATGCTGGTAGTAAATAAGGTTATACGGCCCTCTTGTTTCCTCAGGGACGCATACGGGCCTCAGAGATGTCAGGGGAGTGTGGAAAGAACGACCAGCGTTCTACGACCTGTGGGCTTTCAAGATTTAAGCATCCAGGAAGCGGAATAGACGCGAGGCTAAAAGGACAGCCGTTTCGACGCAGAGAAAAGCAGGAGTGAAAACTTTGCGAAACTCTGTATTAAAGATATTTTAGCAATTGTGCACATTCGTGGTCTTTTATTTTGGTCTGTTTGGGATCAATGGGTGTTATAGCAATCTAGAAGTTTTAAATAAAAAGTTTACTACAAGGGGGTTAAGTACGGGTTAAAGAATAATAATAGCAATAAAAATGAATAAAATAAACAAGAAGCCATAGGCGAAAATCCTCCGTGAAGTTTTATATATTTCAACAAAAACAATCCCAAGCGTCAACGCAGACATTATAATTAGGCAACGGTTAATACAATGAGGGCGCGTCACAAGCATAAAACATAAAAAGACCTACATCCATTGCTGCTCCCAGGGCGTGTAAAGATACTGTGCTTCAAGTTCGAAGTTCATTTTAATTACACACACACAATCATTGCATTCACATAAAGATCGGACTGTCATGGTCGTGTCACTATTAACAAAGACAACCCCACCGTCTTACCGTGCCTGTTACTTATTAAGCGCGACTGGAACAGGCAAAATTCCAGCAACAGCACCGCGAGTGTTTCTTCCGCCGGTCAGATAACCGGGATATCTGCTTAGAGAACGTCTGCTACCAGACAACTGCCTAAACCTACGGCCTATCCCACAGGATTGTAAAAGTAGGGATGTTTCTAATATATGCATTTACTTCAATATCAAAACTGCTACGGTGCTGGCACTTTTTGATGCCATGGAACTAGCAGAAACAACTCTTCGGGGTGTTAGGCAACAAATGGCAAACTATCAGCAGTGGAGAGCTGTACGTGCCAGACAGGACGAGGAGTTTCAGGATGTCAGTGCATAACCACAGGCTGGGCCTTCAAGGGAGGTTGAAATGGATGAACCACAGACTGGGCCTCCCAGCTGCAGGGCAGTCGAGATGGATGAGTACTCCGACTCAGACATGTCAGAGGAGGATTCACACTCCCAGACTGCCTTTCTTCTCACCAGGGCAGCGTGGCAAAATTTCGGCCTACAACAGCTGGACACAGCCTTGGAGACAGAAGATGACTTGGTGGTGAGCTTTCCTCGGCATGGGAGGCACAACTCGATGGGGACACGTCCCCACCCAGCACAGTTCCTCTCATCCAGGAAGACCCTGAGTGAAGAACTGTGCAGAACTACACGTGACTTCTTTGATTCATGGTATTTTTGTTACGGTCATTCCAGTAGTGGCAGCACCTAGGATAGTTAAGACTTGCTTTTTGCACATGTTAAAATCACATTGTCCAGGTCATCCAGCGATACCCATGTTTTTCTGAAGCACGTCGTGTGAGTTGCAAAATGTTTTATTCATTAATTTATTTATTGTGCAGACTTCGCCTGGTATGTTGAAATTGCAGCAATTTATCTCTCGATCTACTTAAAGCTAATAATAATAGTTTATAATTGAAGAATGGTAAAGGGTAAAATGAAAAAAACTAAAAAAAGTTTTTAGGATTCAGGACTAGATAGAGATGGTTTCGGTGGGCTAAACGAAAAGCTTGTAGCTAGCAAAAGTTCCAAAGTACCACACTGCGTGGAACCGACAAAAGCGGGGGGGGGGGGATTTAAGTGCGCAATAATTACTTAAGACGGAATACGTCCGTGTAATTGTTAAAGCTAGCTGAATCCCTACCCATGGCGCGAGTTTCCGTTATATGGGCCGTCGGTGAACGTTCCGCGGGATCACAACAGTGATAACGGCAATTCAACTTTTATATCATGTACCTCAATGATAATGCAGATAAGTTAAGGACCGAGGGCTCCAAGATTCCCGTGCGGTGTCTGTCTACGTAGGGTAGGTGAATAATAGGCTCCTAAAAGTGGGTCACATATCCTTGGACCCCCACTAACCAAGATTTTCAACGAGTCAATAAGCATGGGTGAATTCCCCCAAAGATGGAAGCAATCTAAAATAATGCCAATACATAAAAATGGGGACAAGACTAATCCCAATAACTATCGGCCAGTGTCCCTTCTTCCCAGTGCATCCAAGATACTAGAAAGAGCAGTCCATATACAACTGTATGAATACCTTACCAAACACAGACTCCTAACACAATGTCAGTCTGGTTTTAGGAAACTGCACTCTTGTGAAACTGCACTCAGTGGTCGAAGAATGGGTTCATTCGATATATAAAAAGGTGCAAACTGGGTAGGTATTCTGTGATCTTTCAAGGGCCTTTGATACCCTTGATCATAAGATATTACTGCGGAAGTTAGAATACTTTGGTGTTAATGACATCCTGCTCTTCATCACGTACATCAATGTGGGAAAAATTGTCCGCATGAAAATTTTTCGTAATTAGAAACAACTAAAAGATTTCGTTCGGCCCACAAACCACGTGACCGCTCCCCCCGTGACCTTCGAACTTTCTCAGTTTGTTCTGTTTTTGGGGGAGACGGTTCATGTTTTCGGTCCGCTCCGTTTGAATTTCGAGTCATCGGTATGGAGAAGGAACCTCGGCGCCATCGTCAATCTAGGAGGTGTTCGGTATGTCGTCTGCCTGTGAAGGGACATCCGGGCCCGTGCGGTCCAGGGAAATGCCAGTACGAAAGAGGGAAGGGAGCGTCAGACTCGGACGCGTACTTTTCCCGCCTGAAGGACACGGTTCGACATCTCAGGAAGGAAAGCAAGGTGGACGAGATTGCGCGGCGGGTATGGTCCGAGAGCACATCGGATGAGTCAGAAGACGTCCTGACGCCCCGGCCCCGTTCTTTGCCGGTCAAGACAGCAGACCTGTCTCCGAGACGGGTGGACGGGAACCAGGCTCGACACGCGAGGGCTTACAGTGAGCCACCAGAAGTTCCACGCTGAAGT